ATGCTTGGTCCCTGAAAAGTCAATCACAGTCAGCCATCGCAAGTCAAAGCAAACAGACCACCCAGACTTATGGGAAACTGTCTAGTTCTTCGGGCAATCCAAAATAAACATAGCACTAGGCCCTCCAAACTTATGGAGACTCTCCCAGCCTTTGGTTGACCTAGTCAAAATCATACAATATAACCTTTCTCTCATCCTTCCCCCAGATGTAATCCCACAATCTGTTTTCAGTCAAACAACAAAAACTGAAACTGAATTTGCACAATCATTTTTTTACTTAGTCTGGATTGTGTCATGAAAGTCAAACTGAAAGTCAAAATAGGAAGACACACAGTATACTCAGTCAAAGCATAACAAGGAGTATGCATATGGGCTATAACTGGGTTTATAGAAAGAAAACAATGATTATTTCTTAGTTTCCTGCCTCCAAAATTCTTCCTGAGTCTTGGCAGAGTTCCCGCAATCGGTGGGCTGACTCCCCACAGAGTCTTGCTACGGTCCTACAGGTTGCAATCCTGCCTGCAGCCTTCCTCTCAGAACAGGATTAAACTGAGAGTAAGAAAGATAGAATGAGGAAAGTTTGAGTCGCTCAGATACAAAAAGGGTGCGCTCAGACTCGCATGAGAAGGCCTTGTTATCTTCATGCATCTGAGGGGTCCGCAATGATGGTCAAAGTGCGCAGTAACATCGCCAAACTGAGGTCAAAGCGCCGAGCGTTAACCTCCTGACGGCCCTCCAAATTGCAGCAATGTGCCCCTCTTTCGCAGTCTGACCACTTCCCTAAACCGTTGCGCCGTCTCCCCTTACCACAGCTTGTTTGCAGAGTGTGGTCACCATCCAAATCACAGTGCTTCAACATCCAACCACAACTGCCGTAGCGTAGTCCAAAAAGTTATATTCGACTAGGTACATCCTTTGCTCTATCCGAATCTGACCTGCACTAGCATTCAAGCCCAGCGGCTCACTCCTCACGTTACTCTGTCTGACAGGCTGAGCGTTACGTCGTCCAGCAAGTAAGTCTGCCACCCTCGTGGTTGACCCGCTGCGTCTACCACTCCAATGAGATAGGCAGCATATGGCCAGCATGAATATCTTCGACTCTCGTCCTATATCAACCGGTCGGCCACTGACAGTAGGACTATAGTGTCGTGCAGAGTTCAGATAAAATAACAGTTTGTCATAATGACCGAGACGCCGGGTGACTGCAACCCGAGCAGGCCAAACGTAGCAATCCGTAACAGCAGTCTATCGCATTAGTCCTCCCTTAGCACAACGCCCCTCCCTAACAGGCTGTTGGCCCCTGACATGTACAGCCGTAGTGCCTCGGACACAGCGGCAGCGACTTTGTGGCCAGCTTTATCAGTCAATCCTTTGGTGTCACCGCGACTGCAACCCAAGCCTTCGGTGGGACCTTCAACTCCCTCTCCTAATTTTTATAACTTCACTCCACTACTTCGCCCCCATCTTCCATAGAATCATGAAGGAGCCCTTAATTTGTCAAACCTGGCCTTCCTACTAACTAGCCTTCCAATAGTCTTTCTGTTAAACTGACCAGGAGGTGAGACCTCGATGTAGCTACTCCACAAGCAAAAATCTCACCCGTTACCAGAACTAGCCATCGAATCACTCCACCGGCCTTAACACCAAGACGCCGAACTAGAATGTCACCGAAAGCATACTCTCTTCATCACCAACATTCGTGCGTAGAGCCCTTCCCTCTTACTTGGCGCTCAGTGCCCAGGCCTCTACTGCACAACTGCCAGCAGCTTACAAGTTGGCAGTGCATCGCGCTGACTTCATTCGAATTCCCCATCAGAAGCGGTGGGGCGCAACATTCGAGTAAAAGAGAGTCAGATAGCAGGTAGGGAATGTGACTGGCATCAGTAGGTAAGTATCACTTCCCCTCACGATCGCACAGGTGCACACCTCTCCCTACTTGTGCAAAACGAGAATGAATCTTCCGTTAGAACCCGGAAGGATTCATTTCTCTTTTCAACCTCCCCCCCCCTTCTCGCGCGCAACTATTAACTTTTATATCGGCCAAGCCATTGACCCATTGCAAAAATTAACTCCTCCATCCTATTCGCAGGGCCCTGAAACCTTCGAATTGAATCTTCGATCGCCCGTTTTCGTGATGAAACGGGCGAGATCCACTATCTTTTAGGCCTCTCTTCTTCCTACTCCATCTTCGTTGCACCTCCGCGCACAACCGTTTTCTCTTTGCTCCTATTCTACCAACCGATCTTCGAAACTAAGTCTACTGATGGATTCGCCTTCTCCCAAAACCCCAATATACATTCTTCCCCTGCTTACTTTCACTTACGACTGACTTCGACATACTCTCCCTCCTCTTTCCACTCCTTTCTTCCATAGCTGCTCGCAACCTGTTTTCTTACTAACTTCCACTATACTCCCTTACTCATCTTTCGGAGTCCCACATCGTGGTCGCCCGATCCAAGAACCCCTGCTTCGTTCGTTGGTTCGCCCGATTCCATCAAGGATCGGGCGAAAACTTTGTTATTTATATCACCATACTTCTTCGTTACTCCGCTATTGCTATACTCCCACACACTACTCTCTCCACTAACCTTCTAATATATTAACTTTCTACCCAAACTAACACCAGATTCGGTTTTGCCATAGCCCAGAACCCCTACTTTAGCCCTTCTCCAGCCCGTTTCCGTATAGGATCGAATAAACTACGAACTCTCCCTCTCGCTATCGCCCTGTCCAGCTTCACCATTGCTCTTCTCGCTGTGAATGCACCTGGCGGGATCCACGTCCAGGTTCGACCAGTTTTTGCTGGCCTCATCTTCTCCCCTTTTGCCTGCTGCCCATCACCTTTCTGCCTCGCTACTCTGGTTCAGCGCTTGTCGCTTACCCCAGCTATCCCAAGGAGAACTTCGAAGGAGAACAACCACCAGACGGACTAATTAGTCTTCCGCCCCGATACTCACGTCCGACGAACAATTTGCACGGTAGCATCGTTGTGAGCCTTTACCTTGGCGCCTCTAGTACTGGTGTGAAACTGCACTCTAACCCAGGCGCCACGCAGCGCTCTCGCGGTGATACAGGCAGTGGGACAGTGGTCTTCAAAAAATCGACGTTCGCTAAGAAGTGTGAATTGGTGTGTGTACCAATTCACCTGCTGAATCTACCAATCCCTCAATTGCATTCGCCTTGCTGAAGCATGTGGCGTACGCCCTGCGGCAAGGGCAATCCTAACTCCTTGTCGATGGGCGGACACCGGGCCTGCTGCGAAGCCGCAACATGAGCCTGGTCAAGCGGGTCCTAGCGCGGACCTTGGCGGGCACGCTCACAGTCAACTCCTCATAGCAGATAGCGGAGGCGGACCGTGCGCCAGCAGCAACCCCCTCTGCCCAGATTTTCTCCTGTGCTGTGGGCCATAGCACCCACCGGCCCACATGCGCATCGACCCGTCCGATCAGCACTTCAAAACGGTCGAATAAGGGACTCTTGCCAATTTCCCCGATACTTCGGAAACTCGAGTGGCTCCGCTAAAACATCGCCTCCTCAAGGTCCTCGACGACCACCCGTGTCCGACCATCTAATATCTGAGCCAGACCCATCCGTCTCGACGTTGACCTCAGAATCAATCACTGAGCTAAAGACCTTAGAAAAGCAATAAAAGTAAATAAATAAATAAATAATAAAAACAAAAATGAACGCCCCACGCCCCACGCCCCGCGTCCCGCTGGTCCGCGACGCCGCGCACACCTAGGCTGCGCCTGGTCGCGCCTCGTCGTCAATACCCCGCGCGTGCCGTCAGACAGTCGAGGCTGCACTGGCGTAACTTGTCGAAAACACGCCAAATACCCTTGTAAGGATATTTGGTACGACACCGAGATGCCCTGGTGCCATTGTTGGCCGTTACGAAGACCGGGACACAGCACAGTGGACGCCGGTACCAACGAGTACCGCGCTTGGGAATCGTGTGACATTTTTTGAAATTGGAGTGGTCCACACCGTGGTCCGTCATGGACCAACGGACATCATCGTTTGTCCGCCTACCCCCATCTTCCCGTTTGGTCCCGTTTGGCCGTCCGCGACGGCCTCGGTGGTGATTTTCAGGGGGACCCTGGGCCGCGGCCCATGTAGAAACGGCCCTCCATCCCTTTCCAACCCGACCGAAAAGGGCCTGTGGGGTCTCCAAAACCTTTCCAAAACCTTTCCAGGCCTTCGCCGCAAAGCAGTTGGGTCCAACTCTAATTCCTGATTGGACTTGTTTGTGGAAAGATGCAGAAAATTGAGATTGATCTGCTTTTCCGTATCTCTGCGCAAAACACATCCATATTCAGGAATCAATCCAATCCTCTGTGCTGATGGGACCTGACCCGTGAAGTGTGCAAAACGGAGCTTGTATTTCCGCAAAAACATCAGAAGATGCACCCACCAGGGGTTCCGTCTTTTTCACGTTCTGTGAGTGGTGTGGCGACGCCCTTGACTCAGCGAGGCGGACGGACTGCATGCCTCAGATTTGGTGGTGTGGTTGCACTCGTCGCACTCAAGTGATCTCGGAAAAGAAAAAAAGAAAAGTGACCACGGGTCTCTGCCCGCCGATCATCGTAATCCAAGGCGCGCTCCCGAGCCAATCGAGGGACGCAGAAGGGTTGCGCAATTTCGTCCGTGCTGAGGCGCAAGGGGAAAAAACAGTCCGCCGGGAGACTGTCGACGGGGAGAGCAGGTCGCGCAACGGGGGTTGCGGAAGGCGTAGCAGGGGGAGAGGGCAGAGGACAGAGGGCAGACTGACGAAGCGTGAGGCAGACTGACGAAGCGTGAGACCCTCTCCCCTCCGGGGGAGAGGGGACGGCGAGGGAAAGGGAGGAGAGGCGAGGGGAAGCGCACAGGGCAGGCGAGCGAGCGGGCTCTAACGAGAGGCAGGTGAGCGGGAATTGTGGGACATGGGTGTGGTGGACTCACAGGTTTCATTTCCCGCCGAGCGGGTGTTTGTGATGAGATACGTTTGTACGTCGAACAGGCCGTGCGGTGCCAAAGTTCATTCAGGAAACAGAGTACGGAGGGGGAGGGGGGAGGGGAAGGGGAAAGGCAGTCGTGGTGGCGTAGTCGAAGTGAGAGGAGCAAAGAAGTGGAAGGTGGGCAGGGAAGGAGAGCGAGAGAGGAGGATATACAAGGAAGGAACGAGACGAAGGAAAAGCATCACTGTCAGATGCTAGGCGATCAATCTTTCGGCCTCACGAACGCCCCGCCGCTCGGTCTTTCACCTTCACGAGTTCCCGGCTTTTCTGTTTGGAACGTGTACACGATCAAGGCGGCATCATCACTCGTTCAAGTGAGACAATTAACTTCGTGCTGCTACGGCTTTTGCTATGTGGCGGCAATCTCTGTAGCAGGTAAACTATTTCTCCCTTCCTCTTTTTGTTTCCTGTGCGTCCTCCGACCTTTTCCTGTCGTATTTATCCTCTCCCCGCCCTTCACTCTCTCTCTTTCTCTCTCTCATCTGCTGACATGCAGGTTATCTTCTTCGATCTGTCCTCTCGCCCTCCCTCCTCCGCTATCTCTTTCTCCCCCTCTCTTCCCCCCATCCCTCTCTCTTTTATGTCTTATCTCCTTCCCCCTCTCCCTTCCCTGTATCTCTGTCTATATGTTCTCTCTGTCTATATGAATCTACATCTCTCTCTCTCTCTCTCTCTCTCTCTCTCTCTCTCTCTCTCTCTCTCTCTCTCTCTCTCTCTCTCTCTCTCTCTCTCTCCATGCCTCTCTCTCTCTCTGCGTTTCTCGGTTTTACTACTTTATCCATTATGGAACAGCTCACAGCACCAACCGAATCACTGTTTTTCTCAAATATTTCCTACTACAGTTTTCGAACGAGTCCTCCGTTTTGCTTGTCCTCGTACCATCGTCCAACGAATAGAAAGCGTGGGCATTGTTGCCTTATCGAGATCGAAATTTCAGGCCAGATGTAGCTAAAATGATGATGCCGTCTGTTCGTGAGTAGACGGTAGGTGACGTTTCACTGTCCCTTTTCTCAGACTGGTCGGAATGTTGGGTGGTGCCGTAAGGCGAATCTGGGGAGAAGCCCCCTGAGGAGTGCCAGGAGCGCAGCCTGGTCGAGACGCGTTCGGGGAATTTGCGAGTTTTCAACTGAGAACTATACATGCGGAGAAGTATTGAAATATCTTGTCGATGCGTGTGCGAGAAGCAGTCTATGGCCACTGTTTTTCACTATTCTTCTTCCTCCTCCTTTACGTATTGGTTGTACCAAAACGCACTCAATTTGCATGTATATCCCATCTTGTGGGTTGTGCGAATACACACTCAATTCGCATATACATCCCAAGAGAAGCAAATCTCTATCCCTCGTTCTATTTTTTTTTTATTGGGGGAAACGATAAACTCTTTAATTCATGTCTATATTTAAAACCCGTATTTATAGTTCGAGCACAAGGAGATTTATCATCGCTTCTTTTTTTGTTAGTGGAGTAAGCGCTTTCTATGCACAGAGCTACTCTCTCTCTCTCTCTCTTCTCCCTCTCTCTGCCTTGCCTTGTTCTACCCGATCTTGTCAGTGGAGTAAGCGTTTCTATGCACAGAGCTACTCTCTCTCGCTGTCTGTCTTTTCCTTGCCCGATCTTGTCAGTGGAGTAAGCGCTTTCTATGCACAGAGCTACTCTCTCTCTCTCTGCGTTTTTTTGCCTTGGTCTACTCGATCTTGTCAGTGGAGTAAGCGCTTTCGATGCACAGGGCTACTCTCTCTCTCTCTCTCTGTCTGTCTGTCTCTGTGTCTGTCTTTTGCTTGCCTTGTTCTACCCGATCTCTATGTTTTCGCAGTAACACCACAGCCTGGAAACTATGCTTTCAAACGTCCCTTTTTATCTCAGGGAGGAGGAGCGCAGTTTTGAATACTGCCTATCTCTGTGTGCGCGTGGCTTTGGATATTTCCTCTCTGTGCCGGCTTGTTTTTTTTGTTTTTTTTTTGTATTTCCCCTCCTTTGCGCGCGCGTTTCTGTATGTTTCCCATCTCTGAGCGCGCGTTCCTTCTCACTTCTCTATTGTCTAATCTTTTCCCTGCGGAACTGTCGCTACATTTATGTCTTGCCGTAGCGCGATTGAAAAGGTGCCTGGGTCTCCGCTGTCTGATCGTCATCTTCGTTTTTCTCTTGGGCGCATTCCCTCTTTGAGGTTTCCTTCTTTAGACGCGTTCCTCTCCTTAGCTCTCTGACTCGCTCTGACACAGCCACAAACTACCTCCCTTCCGCTCTTGTGTTCCTCGAACCCTTTTCTCGTCTCCGCTCCCTTCTCGTCTTATCTGTGCCCTGTTCGCTTGTTGTCGGGATCGCGGCGAACGATTAGCAGAGGATAGGAGATCGGTTGCGGCTGGGGGTCGGGATCGGGGCGAACGATTAGAGGAGAGGGGCACGTCGAATCAGAAACAAGGGGTGGGGAACGCTGCAGGCGAACAGCGAATGTCGTCATATTTTGAAGGGGTGGGGAACGCTGCAGGCGAACAGCGAATGTCGTCATATTTTGCTTCCCGTGCCAGTAGTATCTTCTACGTATCGTCTTCGTAAGCTGATATTCGTAATCGAGATCGGTTGATAATATACTTGGACTGGCAAGCAGCTTGACGCGGAGAGGAACTGTTCGTTCATGATGGTAAGAAGTTAGTTTGTCGGATGGGAGTCAGATTGTCGTAAAGAGGGAAGCGCATGATGGTGATATCAAATTCGGAAGTGTTGCAATGGCGCGGAAGTGTTGCAATGGCGCTGAAAACGTGCGAAAGTGACAAGAGAGCTGAGGACTTGACCCTGTTATTGCGCCCAACGGGATGACGTTTATGATGATGATGATGATGATGATGATGATGATGATGATGATGATGATGATGATGACGTGGATGGGCGTTGGAGCGCGAGTTGTAAAGTGCAGTAGGCCGTGGGTATCTCACTGTGTTCCAAATATTACTGTATTTGCAGGGGATCCTTGGAATGACAGCCAGATCCTTTCCTGACGTTTTCACCGGTACACATCTACAATGTACTTTCAGGATGACATTATTGTGCAGCGCTTTCAACACTGCAACGAGAAGGGATGCGCGCGTGAAGTTTAGGGGGGGGGGGGGGGGGGGGGGGGGGGGGGAAGAGGGGGGTATTTGCTCCCCCCTC